ATATATAATAAGAGTTCCATGCATAAGCCTTCACCTGGGGACATTTCTTGTGAAATACATTGAAGTTCCAATGACTCATGTATGATACGTAAATAACCAAATAAAAAAAAAAAACCCTGAATAAATTGCACTTTTCAAAGGATATTTTTCTTTGGAGTGTCTTCATCAATACTGCTATTATTACTATTGAAATGCTACAGCATTGTGAGAATAACATTGTGATATCCACTTTAAGTACGTAGAAGTCAAAATATCAGTGGCTTTCAGCTTCATTTAGGCTCCTAAATTATTCAGGCACTTCTGAACATTTGATTTGTGGTCCATTAGTAGCTTAGCTGTGAAATTGAGAGTTCTAGTTACTGCAACCCATATTTTAACCAGCAGATAATTGCTCTTAAAGAAATAAAGACAAACAGATATGGATATGGCTTTCATCTTTTCTCAATCCAGAAAGAACAGAGTAAGAAAGTGAAAATAGTTACAATGGAAAATCATCCAATGAAATTGCAGTTGCTATTTCAATCCTGATAAATAAAAGAATGTTATGAGCTGTCTTTCAAATAAACTCTATCAGTAACATTATGGTTTGCCAAATTTTTATCTTATATATGAATTTGTATAAGTATACTATGCTCTACCGCAAGTACCAACACAGAGGCTTTACCAACTGCCTTTTGCTGTGGAATTGAGGGCCAAGGTCAAATTCATGTCCTAAATAAAATGAATTCATCTCATGACTGGTATATATTAGCTCACAACAGAAGGACCAAGAATGATTGGCATTCTCTCTTGCAGCTGCGGGAAGATCTGAGTTTATAATGAAAGTGATTTATCTCTCATCTTTTCCAAATTGATCCTTCTAAATTAAGGCAGAGACATTTTCACTCTACCTTATGTGAACAATACTTGATCTTTCAAATCTCAACTTTTCTATAAACATAGAGCCTTGTCAAATTATTTCATGTAGTTGCAGAACATTTAAAGTATATAGATTAGATACAACACAGAGGATTGAGGCAGGCACATTTAGAGATGCAATAACATGAGTTATCAGAATAGTTTTGATTTTAATTCAGATTACAGTAGTACAAGAAAAAAATTACTATAAAATTTCTTACAAGATTTTCATTTTAATGATGATACTGGGTATTGTTTTTTCTTTTTTTTAAGATTTAATGCTTAGTTAATTGGACCTGAAAACATAATGCAATTTTGTATTTTTAGGTGAACCAAGACTGTTTTCTGGCTCAGCTCAGATAAGATTTGATAAATTCGTAAACTGTTTTAAAATTATCCAGATTACTTGTACTGTACAGTTATTCCTTCTTGGTGCTAAACAAAATTAGAAGCTGTCCAAAGTTTAGAATATGTCTTTCATACTGTTTCTGTTGAACCTGATAGACACTGTGCTGTGACAAAACAATCTAAGTGAATAAAGAAATAAAGAACATAAACATTTAAGGGTCAATTTAGTTTTAGGATGAAGGTTATGGGTTTTGCCCTAAATTTAGTCTATTCTATTTTTTAGATGGTGATATTTTAATGCAAAATTTAAAAGGGTAATATGTGTATAACATTGTGTGTGGCAGGACAGCTAACTTTAGGGGATATTGATGAGTCCTAATGTACTCTCCATGTCAGAAATGTATCATCTTCCTCCTCAGACGAAGGCAGTAATGAAAGCAATGTGGAGCATATGAAAAACTTCTGCTGCATAAATGAACTGTCTTTCCTCTGTCCTGAATTACAGTATTCATGCAGCTGAGACTTATTTCTACAGAATAGGCCTATCAGCACCCCTAAGCCCCCAATATAGAATAATGCACTAATCATCTTTGTCCTTTGCTCCAGACATATATACTTTATAGCTGTTTTGTTCTATCATATGGGTAAGTAATAGCTTTCAAAGTTTAAACTGAAGATAGTTGTTACATTGAACTCAGATTGTGTTCTATTTTAATACATGCTCTTAGAGTTATCATCTTGGGACAGATCCTCAGCTGCTAAAATTAGCATAACGTGATTACCTGCAATAAAACTTACACTGACTTATGCTGCAAAGGTTCTGGCCCTGAGTCTTTAGAAGGGTTTACAATGGTATTTAATAAGTATTTGTAAATGGAGCTTCTTTGGTGTTTAAACAAAGGAGAACGTGCCTTAGCAAGGAAGTACATTAGACTTGGAACTCATAGCCCCTTGGCAGCTCAGATCATTAGAGCTCATTTAGTATTGGGCCCTCTGTAGATTTGACAAAAAAGGTACTGAAAACAATTTATATCCCAAAGGACAAAAAAGGAGGTCAAGGAGTTTTCTGAACAATATGTACCATAAAACCCCCAAAGAGCCATGAATTACACTTACAAAGTTAAATGTCATTGAAAAATGACTCGACCATGAAACTGTCACAAAACCCACCCTTAACGTAACCCAGTTTCGCAATTTCACTTGTCTCCCCCGAAACCAGATTGAATGAAACCTGACAAATATGCCACTTCATCTTGTGTGCAAATTTGTTAATAGAACAACAGTGTTTATGCTGCAAAAATTGTGCATCAGAAATATTGATTCTGGTGCCACTTTCATTTCAGGTAAATTGTTTGAACAATATGACCATGATGAATATCAGAAATAAAAAGCTAATGGGAACTAAAAAATGCTGACCCACTTGTTCTAATTCAATATCCTACTTGGAAAATGGCAAATGACTCAACCTTCACCATTCCTTTTGGAAGCTCAAATCAATAGAGGAAACGTCATATATTATGCATAAATACAGATAGATTTCTTTGTCTCATTCTTCCATTAGAATGGTAGAATTTTAATTTATGCAAAAAATTTAAATAAGATTAGATGATTACCTGCAACTGGAGAGACACCACTTCATACTATACCCTTTTTCCTATAGCTCTTGAATTAATGTGAGAAATATGTATAGATGAAATAGAATTTTAGAATAGAAACATGATGGCTGTTTATTTATTTGTAAATTAATTTGTTGACTTATTTACTGCCCAATGATGTATGCAAAAGGTCATTTTAACCTTTCTTGTCATGTTATTGGGCCTTTCCAAGTTTGCAGTCAATACTGCCTCTGTAAACCATTTACCCTTTGAAGAAAACTTATCATTTCAAACACACTGTTGATCAAATAATGTATACCCTTTCACCTCACATAGTAACTCACCTCCCCAAAAACTTTGTTGACTGACAATGTTTTGTAGTGTTTCCAACTCTGAATGGTGTTAACACCACCTTAGCAAAAAGATACGCGCTAGCTTGTTCTATAAACTTCTCTGGAGTTGGCGATGTCTTTGTTTCACCCATGTCAAACATTCATCTGAGGATAAGCTGAATTAAGCACTACAAAAACCAATTTCTTATAGGAGTGATAGGAGATTCAAGATGTCTAGCTCAGATGTACCACAGCATCTCTAGACAACTGAAAGCAGAGAGAGAACTCCACGCAAGTAGCTGGAAATTACAACCAAGATGAGGGAGAAACTACTTACAAGGTAAAATTTACAGAATTAAATAGAAGTAAGATCATTTTAGGCCATGTACTGTGGTCTTTCTAATAATATGAGCATTCATATGACAATACAAAGCATAATAAAATTTATATAACTTAATTAGACTAAGCAAACAATTGCAGTTAGTACCAGAAAGCGAGCCTGTGCATTCCTAGGGAATAGACGGGATGTTGTAGAGCAAGCTAAAGACGGTCTTTTTATCTTTGATTTCGATGAGAATGCTAGTTATAGCAAGGCATTTCAGATAATTTTTGAGTATTTCCTATAATTATACACTCAGGATGAACTGAGAACTACCAATTCTAGCAGACAAAAAGGACATTACAGAATTTTCTGGATATAGCTTAAAAGGGAACCCATTAAAAACAATGGAAAAATTCAACTGACTTCAACTGAGTTCTGGATTAGAGCTTTAACAACCAGTGTTGTGAAGCTTTCCTGGAAGGAGATGACAGGAATGAACTGAACAAACAGTTGCAGTGTTGGCAGTCACACTAGTGAGGACTCTTGCTTTTTATTGCTTTTAGGAAACTAAGTTCACTCAGACTAACGCAAGATTTGTCCTAAAGGTGATGCAGTCCACACTGAAAGAATAAAACCTTTAGTGGTTTAGGTCCCATAGTGTTCTTCCCTTTGTTTTCTGATGGGAGAAACAGCTGTTTACTATAGGGTCAGATAAAAATCTATACACATGGTAGACAGCTCTGCATCCCACTCAGGATGCTCCAAGAGAGACTCTTTAGTTCTAAAATGATGCAGCTCAAGTCCTATCACTTTTGTCCTCAAACTGCTCCTCCTTTTGGGGGATTAATAAACTCTGGAATGTCGTCATAAAGTACCTTGAACTATTACTGCTCTGAGGATGTGCCAAGGTATGCTGAACTGTCTATTTAGCAATCGTCTGGGGAGTTAAATTCTTTTTAAAACCATACTAATGTATTTTAAAAAGCAAAGCAGTCCAATTTATGTAGTGCATTCTAACAGAAAACACGGTGAATAAAACCAATATCAAGCTTAATCTATGACCACATTTTGCATGGGTTATTTTGTTAAATTTGCTCATTCTACGTACACAAGGAATTGGACACTTTGGACATGAAGAGCTTTTCTCCATTTAAAGGACAGTTATCGTTTGTGTGCGTCATCTACCTTTCTTTAATCCCATATGATTGCAGCTAAGAGGAGTAATTTGCCCTACATGAAGCCTGTAAGTAACATGGATACCTAAGTCTTTCAAATTTGTTTCATCAACTTCTGTCTTAATAGTGACCGATATGTTTGCTTTGTGTGGAGCTGCAGCTATACAATTTTGTCTGCCGCTGCTCCTTTTTCCTCTGCATTTCACATCTAAATTGTTCAATAAATATAATCCATAAGAAAAGATTCATCTTCACTCTTCAGGAAAGGAATTATTCAGGTTTACTTGTGGCAGACATTCTTAATACTGCGAAGCAACGTGTATACAGAAGGCCAGAATTTTTGTCTGAACTTTGACAGATGAGTAAAATTGTGATGGACTACATTTTTATGCCTCTTTTACAATAATCTACTACAATGGTTTTACCTTTAAGTTTTTATTCTGTTCTTTCCTTTTTTTCTACCCACTAAATAACTCCAAACCCCAGGATAAAATCTCACAACATAGAAAGAAAATGTCCTACCTTCTTCACAGTTTTCTCCTTTATAGCCAACAGAACAGACACAGTTCCCTTCGATGCAGGAACCATGACCTCCACACGAGGGATCGATACACTGGCTGATGGGTACATCACATTCTGGACCTTTCCAGCCACTGTAGCATAAGCAGGTGCCTTTAGAGTACTGACCATTGCCACTACACAGAACCGGGCAGGCAGCTGGAAAATTGAATGAAAGAAAAACAGCATACAGGGTCATACATGTATTCATGTAAAAGTGCACTAAAAATCCACTACCAAATACTTATACATATATTCAAATATGTTAATTTACTAGGAAAGAAATCTAAGATAATTTGTAGTAGTTCAGTTCTTCATTTCCCAACGAAATAATTTATTACTATTTAATAAAGCACGCATGTGTTGGGCATTCTGAGAATACAACTACTGTTCTTTATAGGCTACTGACAATGATTGGGATAACTAATGAGGTAATGTGGACAGATTTGAGCCTGGCATTACTCTGCTTTGTTCCACTAGGTAAATTCCAATTTTCACAAATAGCAGAACATAAAACATTCAGTCCCCAGAACATTTTTATATAGCATCTTTCTTCTTCCATAACACTTGTTTAATGTAATGTCCCCAAATTTTTTTAGACCCTTTGACTTGTTTTTTTTTCAGTCTAAGAATCTTGAACACAGGAATAACACAAGCTTTCATCTACAACAAATGCACCTTGCCACCGATATCCCCGCTGAACCTTGTTTTCCCAAATCCCAGAGTGACTGCTTTTACTCTGCATGTATTGGCAAGAAAGCACCATTAACCCTTATCCCTCCCTCTTGTATTATTAAGGGGGTAAGACATATTCCGAGCAAATATTCATTTATGCAAATGAAGTGAAGCCTATGAATAATAAAGGTAGTCAGCAGGTCTTGGATGCCAGGAATCAGATGTTGTACATATGCAGAGCAATGGAAAGAAACAAGTGGTTTATTAAAAGCCAGTTGCACAGAAATGTTACACTAAGGCATATTCACACTCCTGTATGCCCACGTCTCCCATGTGAACATGGCAATTTGTGAACTTACATGCCCACCAAAGGCTGAATGTGTGGTCACCAGCCAGAGAAATGGGAAAAAATAACAGAGGAATAAACAGAAAATGGGAGCAATGAAGTGAATCTTTGAGAAGAGGTAGACTTTTGTGCTCTTCTCTCTGATGCAGTTTGATAAAGACAGAAAAGTATTTCCCTGTCTTTTCACCCTTCAAAGTAATTAGAAACTTACAGCTAGTTTTACAGTGCCAAAAATAAACTCAAAAGCTACTATTAATCATTAAAAGGTCCCAATGTCTTTTTGCTTCTATTATTCCTTTAACCTGAATGATCAAGAAGAACACAAGTAATTGATTTTCTAGAAAGAAATGTGTAATTGTCCAGTTATAAAACTTCTCCTCAGTCCTGTGGCTCTTACTAACCTTAGCTGTCCCATTGATCTGCTGCAAAAACACATTTCAGGATAGATTTTTTTTAAAGAATTTTCTTATATGAATTGGGGAAAAATTGATCAGAAAAAATATATTCAGATTTGTAAGAATTATTTCAATTAAGGCTACAGGTTGATGGGCCACATGTCACAAGTATAATCTTTTTTAGCCTATTTTTTCTACAGCAGAATGATAACAAAATCAGTATGCTGAAGTTTGGGATTTTTTTGCTACCCCTACTCTGTCTTAGGGCTGTATTGTCCATCCTTTGGTAGCAATAAGACTTCATTCTACTTCATTCCTGGTGTTCTCTCTTACTATGAGTCTTGTTCAGTCTTTTTCTTCCTCATTCCAAAAATGAATACAAAGATGAACAAAATATAGGTTCCAGCAGCAACTTTCTGATTTCAGATGCGACATATGTTATCAAGTGCTTCACTGAGTTCAGTGAAAAAGTTTATGCTAAAGTTCTACTGGTTTTGATTTTTGCAGCTGGTTTCACAATTAAGTTCACTGAATGAGCTGGACTGAATTATGATACAAATACCCATTCCATCCATCCTGCATTCTAGGACAGCCTATTTTACATCTTTTTGCACGTCACCACGAAACACCCTTCTATGACATACAACACACTGAACTAGGAACAATTTGAATGCTGTATGAGTTACTATTCCTTCTGTCTGCACGCATTACATCATGGAGTCTGTCTCAGTTCCCCAGCATGCACTGCTTGTCACTGCATAGATATGCTAACTGCTGCTACTGCAGGTCATGTAGGTGAGCCATAAGGAAAGGGACCACTTCCACTCTTCAGGTATGAAGACCTGGGAACACAAACAATTCCTTTGTCCATAACTCTCCATTTCACTGCAATTAAAAGTCTTGTTTGGGCTGACATTGATACATTTTCCCAAATCACTTTAAGGAAGGTAATCACTTCAGTCCTGCTCTCTACTTGCCATGGTGTAGAGGACCTGGAGGTGAGCGATCAGAAGGCAGCTTGTCCTGAAGACCTGGAGTAATCATGAGTGGCAAGTTTCTTGGTGCCACCTTCCACACCCTGACACACTGTAGAGACACTGTCCCTTTATCTGAGCCTCATCTTAACACAAAAGTATCTCTCTCTAGAACAAGGCACCTCTCAGCTCCTGTATGCGGTGGTTAAGCTTGCAGTCCCTTTGTTCAAGTCCACCACAGAAGGAAGTAATATTGTTAGATGCCAGGCTTCCGAGCCACTGCAGAGGCTCAATGTTATCATTATTAATGGCTGTTCAATGTGGATTCTCCAACTGCACCGGGACATGCCAGCACATGGCTTGCTTTTGCCCATCATCCTCCTCACCATAATGTGATAAAACTGCATAGAAAAAAAATGTCCCAGGAAAGCTAAATGAACCAGTTTCTTTAGACAAACCACACTTGTTCAAGTAGTTATAAAGACAAAAAGTTAGAGTTGACTTATAAGATGGATACAAGTCAGGAATAGCTTTTTTTGTTTTGTTGTTTTACAGGTCTACATGGCACTCAACACCTGAAAGGACTTCTGTTCTGTACACCTTTCCTCTGGAGTCAAAACTCAAGTAAAGACAGTATGTCTATTTGAGCAGCACAGAAATAAATCAATTATTAAAATAAATAAAAACCCAAGCCCCCAAAACAGCAAGCCACTTAGATGTGACCACTCTAGACCTAGCTAGATAATACTCTGCCAACCACCTGCTGCAAGATTGCTTCTCTCCATGGTTTGCCCCTAAGTCTCACTAAGCAACGGGCAATTGTGGTGCAGCTAAGAGAGATGTATATCTGCTATTTGGAACATGTCTATGGGAAGGCCATTCTTAGATCCCACTTTTGATGTGAATTTGCAAGGTTCAACTTCTGGGACACCAGAGATTGGCACAGCAGAAGAAAGATTACTAGGTGGTGCTGGATCTTGGGCTGAAGAGGTCCCACCGTAGTTTTTTAGTGTTCCCTTATTCTGCTATAGTGCTTCAGGAATTTAAGTGAAGCTGAAAGCCATGTCACAGCTTTTCATTCCTCTCTCCATGCTTCTACCAGGTCAAAGGTCTTGCTATGGTTCACAAATCTATTCAGTCATTGTGAAGCTTGTATAAAAGTTGAACAGTAACCTGCCTTCAGTAGTCTACCTATACTGCAGTATGCATTGCCAAGATGTTAGTGACTTTGGACAAATGAGAGAATCTGTCATTTAACCTTAGGGATGAAATTAATATGGTTAAGATTAAGACACTTGCAAACTAAAGCCACAAAGTTTAATCTACAGCCCTCTTCTGGGGTTATTCTACAAACTATATAACAGGAATATCACTTTGAGAATAAGAAAAATGGCAGAGGTTCTTGGTCAGATTTTGGCATTTCCAAGACTGCCACACCACGAACATTGCAGGAGAAACACGTAAGCAAGAATGCAAGCAAGCGTAGGTTATAAGAAGCTGGCTTGTCACTGCTGTAATAAATAGCTCTTCATTAATGTTTCTGCTATGGGTTTACAGTCCTAGAGAGAGAGAATCAAGCTGCTCTTCCACAGAAAACAGAAGCAGGCAGTCTAGAAAGAGGTCTGCTATGCTTATTTGCTAGACCTTATTGCTGCAGGGCGAGACCCAAATTAGTCCACTCGTACTTTACATCCAGGTGGCTTCAATTAATGTGCAAACAACTCAAGAGTCATCTGGAGTTCTTGTTATTTAGGACTGCTTATATTCTCTACATGAAGTGGATGGCCGCTAGTCCAGGACAGAACTGACTGTTCAAAGTCTGTTGAAGGAGTTTGAAGGAAGGTTGGTTTATGTAGTGGAACAATCAAGCTCCATCTCATTTCTGTGGACAGATGGATTGCATAAAAACAACCTCATATCACACACCAGCACTGTCAAAAAGTAGATAGAGGTCTTCAGGATTAGTTACAGCAACATTCAAGTAAGTTAAGCATGAGGGTGATGTTTGAATAAGCACAGTAGGTATTAACCCTAAATGTGGTTTTGGTGATGTGATTCTGCCCTTTACCAGTATTTGAACAAAACCAGACTAAGTTCTTAACATGGGTCTCAGCTGATCAATGGATACTACAGACCTTTGAGTCCTGTAGGCTGCACATATTTAAGAGCATGAATTGAGCAGGAAAGACCAGCCAAATACACCTCTAAAAGTTCTCTCCCTAAAGGTTATCTTTGGATAGTTATTTTGGAGTGATGTTCATATTCCCTGATACACAAGGAAAGCTGATTTGATAACAGCCTGTTACGCATGGACTAGGAGGGGAGATGGTAGGGATAATGCCCAAATGGTCTGGCATCAAAAGCCACCATTTTGTCCAGTGACACTTAACACATAGGTATCCCAGCTGCAGTCTGCGTACTTTCTCCTTTCACCCACCTTTATGGTATTCACACGTACATACTCACCAAAGGTGTTCTTCTAGAGCAGGGCAAGAAAACAGTAAAGGATATCTGAGGAATCAAACTCTTGGAGGCTGTTGCAGAACTTGGTTTAGTTACACAGCTGCTTGGTTGAGAGACCTTCCCCTGCTACTTGAAGTTCCAAACAGGATTTGAAGGCAGAGTTCTGGCTTGGTTCCTCTTGCTGTAGAGCAAACGTTACCCTGGTGCAGAGAGAGTCCTGTACCACTAAGATCTAGGCTGTCAGTTCTCTACTGCAGACTTTTTTCAGTTGTCATCATAAAACAGACAAATTGGTAGATTTCTCTT